AATACTGATTGATGCCGTTACGTTTTGCCCACAACTCAGCATTCTTGTGATAACATTCGGAACGCGTACTGCGGCGTTAAACAGCAGTTATCATAACAAAACAACTGGAACTTTTTGATCGCAGCTCGGAAAAGTTTCGATCAGGGCCAAATACGACCCCATTCACCAAAGACGACCGCCATCTCTCCAGCGACCACGTTCGACCTCCCCGAGAGATCTCTCCAAAAAGTAGCACCCCTGGCTGATGGTCGGCGAGCGTTCACAACCTGCGCCAACGGGGAGTCTTTGGATTGGAGGGCGGAGAATCCGTGAGAAGGATCAGTGATTTTTTCGGCTCCGCCCGGCAATAGAACCCTGAGAAATCAATCTGTATCGATTCCTTTCGACGGATTTTCCGATTCTGTAGGGCGCTGGCCATAAAGTAAGCCGCAAGCCGCAGCCCTATCTGTATTCATATCTCACTCAGTTTCACAAAAAGAAGTGCAAGCCTGAAGCTATACTAGAGCACTGAATCTTCCGCTTCTCCACTAACTGTATTTCAGAACCCACATCTGGATTTGGGCGATAGCACGGCTAGATCTGTTCTGTTGGTGGTACCGATAGTGAGCTGTGTGGAAGTGCTTATGATTGTCGTCATGACGAAGGTCCGGGTGTATTTGAGAAACAAACGAAGGCATATACGGAATGGATTACCGCCGGTAAGAACTCAAAAGTTTTTAGTAGGTAGTCAGTAACCTTTTTGTTTCAATCTTGCTGTTATGTTTCTCCTAAACCCACGCTGAGCTACTCCTGCACGCCGTCAAGCCGCGCTGGCTTTGGTTTGCTCACCCTCACCTTGACCAATTATCACCTTGGAGCTCCTTTTACAACAAATATAGCTTGATATCAATTCATTAGTTTATTCCAAGTGGTAGGCACCATGGAAAAACATCATAATTAGGGCACATGGTTGCGTCTATAAACGCTCAATATGGGAGGGCGTGGCTGCGGACTCCGTCTGAACATGGCTGTGGTTGCGCTTTTATACAGAACTACCATTTGTAAACTGTTCTTAGTAGTATCATCAACCTTTTTGCTTCAAATCTCGCTGTTATGGTATGGTCCTGATAAATACTTGGTTGTCCGCCGCGGTCCAGGCCGGTTTTGCCTCACCCCCCACTTGGTCATTATCACCTGGGGGCCTCCCTTTTACAACAACTATCGCTTGGTAATTCTTATCCTTTTCGTAGAAGACTGCGGAAAACAGTCATGCCACAAGGCACATGGGTACCGTCTACAAACGCCTCGAACAAAGGACGCGTGGCTGCGACCCGTCCTGAACGTGGCCGGTGGTTGGCCGCTTCTAGCAGAGAACCCAGCATTTGTAATCATGTTCTTATAGTGCCCAACGCAGGACCTACGGTTGTTTTGGGGGCAAATAAGAAGTACCTAGTGAAGAGCGAACCTTGGTCAAATGAAGCACGCAGCCGCGTCCACCTCACTCGGGATTGGAAGTGTGCATCTGATCCCACTCTAGTACAAAACTAGTGCGTCAAATTTTGGTCAGTCCCTTCTGAAAAAATTCCTAAGTTTTTTGATTGTTTATTGGTCATTTATTTTGTTTTTACAACTTATCCAGTAGTACTTATAATACTTCTCATTTCTATTTTAGCCCATACGAGAAGTCATCAGACCAGGAAGCGTTCTGACGGTCCACAACCAGAACAAAGTGTATGCCGCTTCATCGCCGGAAATGCAACGTGCTCATTGCTCAACACAGGATAAGGAGACGTAGATTGAACTCTTGTCAGTCTCATCTTCCCCCACTCCCACCACCGAATCTGCCAGAACTCAACGGGTACTCTTCTTCATCGATCTCAACTTGAATTTGATAGTAGACCTGTGCATGATATCGCTGCAATCGTGGCGGTGTCAGAAGGCGTGGGAGGTGACAATTCCCGTCCGCATTTTCTACCCATAAAGATCGGATTCCATCCTTCCCGGCACCGCCCCGATTGATTGTGACAACATCAGTCGTAATCACTTTTCTTTGCCAATTTACTCGGTTATATCTATAGATGATCGAATTCTTTCGAAATAGCCTTTTTTTGTTAATGAATTTCATAGCTTGCCAAATAAAGCTTTATAGAATCTGTCAGAAGCATCTACACAACTTCCTAATGAATTCATGCTTTTATAGTTCGGTGAGCAGAGTAATAACTACACATATTCCAGGAAAGGCCCGTCTCTCAGAAGTAGGTGATGAAAACGAAAGCGTCCGCGCTGCGCCGGCTTGCGGCACGCCAAACCCGGCCTCATCGACACGCCCCTTCATTCGCAGCGAACAAGGCCGTAACGGAGTTTTCTGGTCAACAGCAACTCCTTCCAAACGTTTATTGATTCGTGATTTCATTGTAGGAATTGTAGTACCGAAGCACAATTAATATGACGCTAAATTCTTCAAATAATAAAACGACACTATCGTCCACTATTTAATTTCACTTCTTTTTAGTGGGTTTTCCTCCAGGCGGTCCAAAGCTGTCATAGTCGCCTTTTTCCCCTGCTAAACGAGAATTCGAGTACTGATCAATCCACTACAGTACAGAACCATTGTATTGCACTTACCTATTTTTTCTGCCGCAGCCAAAAGTGCTAGTGTATTTTGAGTTCCTCTTTCAGAAAGAGTCGGAGATCCTTCTGAAAAAGATAAAACAAAACTAACAGTGAAATCGGCAGGGTGTCCAAAGCAGCAAAGAAAACCAGTCTGGGTTTTTTATTGCGTAGATTGCTTCTGATTGCATGCTGCCAAGCAGTCTGGTGGATAGAAGCTTCTCATGATTAGCTACCAGAATGGGAATAAGCTGATAGCGACAGTCTCCAGGGTGCAGCTTTAGCGTTGACGCAACCTTGCAGATATGCCTCTTCCAGGGCATATCTGATTCTTGATGAAGTCTAGGAAAGATAAGTCGGGAGGTTGAGCCGGACATTGAGGCGGGAGGAGCCATATTCTGCTCCATTTTATCGTGAAAATAACCTACAATGGTGATCCATGCAGACGATTAGGACGTTTAACGCGACGCTTTTGGGAGCGCAGGCAGGGCGTCCTTCTTCCAGAAAGGCACCGTCAGTGCCGCTAGCATTGTGAAAAACTGCGTTCGTGGCGGCGCTCCAACCAAATGCAGGCCAGATCGCTTTCTGTGGTAACCAACATGAGAACTATGACGGTAGGGTACCAGCATCGTGTCTGAACACAAAGGGTCTAAGCTTCCCGACTGGGAGTGGGCGGCGGTCGTACTATGGTCGTTACGGAGAAGAGGTCTGAGCTTGGGCCTTACTAAGGACAGCAAATCGCCTGCGTTGCAGAATAGTTTCATTTGCACACATCAACGATCTGCTAAGCCCATGAAAATGACATCCACACGCCGGATACCTCGCGCGGCGAAAAGGATCGGGAGTCAGCGGCTGGCCAGCGCAACACCAATAGATGGGAGACCGCATAGTTAGTCCTAATGCGAGGCGCTCGCGGCACGTCCTCCTCACCAAACCCTCTAACAGACGCGTCGCATTGGCTGAACTACACCCATTTCCCACGACGAGCATGACGTAAGGGGCTGTAAAGTCACAAACCCAACGTCCGCTGAGAATCCCAGAGAAGAGAGTACGTAATTCCACGTTCCGGAAAAGTAGAAAAAAAGGCACGGAATGGCAGTTTGAAAGAGCTCGGAATAGTCCAGTCCGTCGTGGGGCACCAAATGACAGAAGAAACTGTACAAGGCAACCAGGCAAAAAACTAGTAACTCGCAACCGAATGGCTTCTAGCTCCAAACCAATTCGCGCTACAGGTCGCAAAAGTAAGCTTTGCAGCTAACATGACTAAATAAAGACAAGCGAATGTACAGGAATCTCCTATCCACCCCTCTCCCCCGCCCTCCCAGGGCAGCCAAGACACGTCTCAACAGTGTAGTAATCTGAAAAAGACGTTTCTTCTCAGTCCGTCATCCCTGCAGCCCCAGGCGCACCCTAGGAGGCTAAGGGCTAACTCACAAACAGCCTTTCCGAGACTCCTGGGTACTTCACGTGAACGCATCCTACAAACATGCCCTTCCAGACACGCCCGTATCATGATCAGAAGGATAGCTAAAGGCGTGCGTGACAAGGCCTCTAGACCCACAGAATTCTCTTTTCCCGGAGCTCAATTTTCAATTGCCTAATCACCAAAATCCACTAAAAACTTGTATATAAAAGGTAACCACATCCGAGCAGCGAAGTAGTGACACCAATTTAGGGCGCTGGCGCCAAGAGAGGACACTACGATTACCTCCTGGGCTCAGCCTTAGCAGAGCGCAGGTAACCGTAGTGTCATCCATTAGCGCCAGCGCCAAAAATGAATGTCATATTCGTGATCAGGATGTTGAATTACCCCTATATACAAGTTTTTAGCGGATTTGGTGATCTTGCCACTTTTAAAATGAGCTCGAAGACGAAATTTCTGGAGTCCAAACGGCATTAGCCGTGGTGGGTGAAGCTGTACTTCGAGGCAGAAAGGAGCCACATAGTGCCAATTCTGGGACTTCACTCCAAGCAATTCTTGAAGACAACTCACTCCATGACTTAGCGCTGGTGGATTGGTTATAATACACAAGTTTTGGTTGAGTTTCAGCCTCCTTTTTCTCGTCATTTGCCTTCTTCTCGAGCAGCTCCATCTGGGTCGGCTCTGTTTTCGCAGTTGTCTGCTTCTCCAACTTGTTTACTTTTTTATCCATTTCTCCTGCTTTTTCCGTCGCCTTCTCTCCACTAGTTTTCTTTGTTTCATTTTCTTTAGGCTTTTCCGCCGATTTTTCCTTTTTCTCTTGTTTCTTGCCTTCATTACTGTCCACTTTTTTACCAACCTTTTCTGTTGACTGAGTAGTCGCAGATGTTGAAGATGCCACCACCATGATGGACCTTTGAGTATGACTCTTCTAGAATGAAAGGCGAGACCAAATCAGAACCGAAACAAAGGAAAGATGAAAGAGGTAACACAGACGCACCGAAGCCGGCATATGGTCCGAACTTCCTCACTTCTCTCTTTTCGGCACATAAGGTGGTGGCAACTATTGATCCAACAGCACATAGAAGGTGCTAAGAGTGTTTATTTTTGAAAACTGTATTTACTTTGCGTGAGTTTCGAGTAATCGATAAAGCAAAACGAACCATTAGTAACACTAACATGAGAGACCGGCTGGCATTCAAACAACTGTGGCAATGAATGTACATTGTTTTCTACTCAGATGCTGTATGATAACTGATAAACAAAATAATTGCTTGATAGAGTTCTCTTGATAGCGAAAACTCGAATTGTGGCATGGCGCGGTCGAAGCGGTCATCTGCGAGAGCAGGGGTCGAATCGGTCCGCTGAAAATAATGACTTCCAGGGGACTTTCCAAAAGACTCGCAATCCGTGATACAGTCTTTACAACTTGTCGG